AATACTGCTTTCTATCATGTAATTATCAGAGAGATGATCAGTGAATTCAATATTTTTGATATTCAGTAATTTATGGTCAACATTCGGACATCTTCTAGTTCCGACACTAGCCCATGATGATAAGGCGGTGATTGACGGCATAATTCGTCTGTCTGGAAGGAAATGTGGTTTTTACAACTTAGTATGCTTTCGGGAATTTTCTAGAGGTTGGACTTTTGGACTATGATTTCGTGGAGCGTGCAAATGGATTTCTAAGATGAAGGATGCCCTCACCCGCAATGAAATCTGGAGCCTCCTGGCGCTGCTTGTCACCTCTCTGGGGGTTATCACCAATACTTTCCAAGGTGACGGCCAACCCTTAATCACTTCTCTTGCTCTCAGCGGCATAGCCTTCGCAGCTACTTTTAGTCTAATACGATGGCTTGGAGGGGTTTTTGTCAAGGCAGGGCTGAAGGGAAGAGACATGGCGAAGTTGCGACGCGTTGAACTGTAATGATTTCGCCGGAACCCCCAAACTCGTCGTGTTTTATGCAACTATCACTAACAATTATTTATGCGATAGACCAGAAGCGATGGGAGCTGTTTGCGCAGTTGTTTATATACTATTGCTGATAGTTTTCATTCCATTCCCATTCTACAAAGATATTGTAGCTGCAACTTCAGGTGGTGGGAATCGAGACGTTGTATTAGAGGTGCAACATGTTGAAACGGGACGTTTTCTTCATCGCTTCCCTCATAGTAAGGTAAGATAACAATCTTAATACCAATTGGGTGACGTTATGATTTTTACTCACGTTTGGATTGGCACGATAGCTTGCCTCGTACCTCTCTGGTCTTTTATCGCTTCAATCAATTTTGATTCTCGGTATCGGGGACGATATGCTTGATATCCGATGGCGGCACAAAGTCCTTATCCCAGCTCTCGCTTCAATTCCAATGCTCATAGTGTACTTCGTTGATTTCGGAGTTACCGTTGTGGTTGTTCCGGTTCCGCTGCAGCCATATCTGGGCCCCTTCATTGACCTGGGTTGGCTATATTACGTGTATATGGCTGCTGTTGCGATTTTCTGTCCCAACAGTGTAAACATGCTTGCTGGAATCAACGGGATTGAGGTATCTCAGTCTCTAGTCATTGCAGTCTTGCTCTTAATAAATGACGCTTTATACCTTACCCCGTTCACCCCCTATCCTCATCCAGCGATGGACTCCCACCTTTTCTCGATGTATTTTCTGTTGCCATTCATTGCCGTGTCCCTTGCGCTCTGGTTGCATAATTGGTATCCAGCGGAAAGTCTTCGTAGGAGATACCTACTGTTACTTTGCTGGGATGGTTTTTGCT